GGTTCAATGCGTCGACCACCTTTGAAAATTAGTGTGATGTGAGCCAACTTCCAATTTTCCGGTAATTTGCCTTGGCTTAGCGAAGGGTACGGTTCTTGATTATTGTAGGTGGCTTGCAGCTTTTGGGAACCGTCTGAGGAACTGAATGGTTTGTAGCACATAAGAGCGTGTGCAGTAAGAAGTCCCAGTGACCGTCCACATCGAGTTGAGGGTGAACATCCCAAACCACCTGTTGCAGATAGTCATGTAGAGCTAGCACATTCAGCCGTTTAAAATTCCAACGCAAATTATTGTTGGGATATCTTAGCTTAGTTTTGCTGACAAAACTGAAGGCGATGACGGCATGATCGCTCTTTCCCAGAGGAGCCAGGATTGAGAGGTTGTCAACTAGAAATTCTTCGTTAGTGAATACACAGTCTAAGCGCGATGGTGCCTGACTGTTTCTCCAACGAGTTGCCGACCTCACATTTTCATATAACCCCAAGTCATTGATGAGGTTGAAGAACCGAGATTCAATTGAGTTGTCGCCTCCAGTGTACGTGTGTTCCGCGAAGTTGACACTAGGGAGATTAAAGTCCCCTAGAATCAGGATGTGTGTGAAACCGAGACGGGTAGAGCGGTATAGTCCTTCCAGCATACGACTATCGTACTCGATGTCAGCAGTTGGCTTCCCGTAAATGACTCCGATTAGATACCTCGAAGTACTAGACAATCTTACAGAGCACCATACAGATTCCTCACGATTGTTAAACTCGAGGTTATGAACTTGATGCACCTCCAGGCAAGAACGTATGTATTCAGCTACTCCATCCCCAAATCCTGATTTTCTGTCATTGTGGAACAAAGACATCCCGGTTAATGCTAACTCATGGTCCGAGAACTGAGAAGATATCCAGGTTTCAGATATTCCTATCAGATGGGCCTTATTAGCATTGCTAAGACGTCCTCTACGTCGGTAGTATTCTTAAGTGTTACTCGGAGAAGCCTCGGGTGATTTAGATGCTTGGAATCCTTTCCTCGAGTGAGCCGAGTGACCGTCAAAGGCTCTATTCTAGGAAATTCGAGCTTCTTGTTCAGTTCACCCCAGAGCATCCTGTCGTTTTTGTCCTGCAGACTGAGAGGAAGGTCAGGATTGTCAACGAGGTTCATGATAATGAGAGAATCGTCCCGAACTGTTGCTAATCTACCAGGTTTCACGATGGGTTCAGGTTTAATAACTTGTTGTTTGGAGGTCAGTGCGCGTTTTTGAGTCTTGGGCTCTTTATTGACCGGACGATCAGTCTTGGGGGTAGACTGTGCGACCAAATCATCAGTTATTTTTCATACAGCAACACTTGGGTTGCTGAGCTTGTGCGGCGATGCCTGGTTCTTTTGGGCTCTCTTAACATGGGTCGAATCACCCACAGGGTTTTCGGGAACCACTGTTGTGTTCAGGGACCCTGAGCTGGGAGACCCGAGTTTGTCTCGGGGGTCTAATACTGTCGACGTAATGATGGTGCTGAGCCTCGACACGTCATCATTAGTGTTGATGGATGCTCCATCGATGGTATACCTGTCGACGTCCCTATTTTTGTATCCGTCGCACGCTCTTGTTTGTCCACCGGTTTTTTTTACTATCGTTATCCAAGTTAACTGACAACTTGTTCCGAAGACCTGTCAGTAGGACAATGATGTTACTCAGTAAGACTACAGCGTCCGTGCTGCACGTGACACATACCCACTTTTGGTCTAACTTGCTGAGTCGGTTGTAAGCAGTTGCTGTCAGATCTGTGCATGCTTCGTGGAACCAACCTTTGCAGTTGTCGCATCCCGGACGTTTCCATGAGTTTTTCATGACTATGTTGAAGCAAACTATGTTATAGATGCTTGCAAAAGCGTAAGACCTTTAAAAAAACGCTAAAAAGCACACTGAAACGGACAAAAATGGATAAAACGAATGATATAAACTTAAACTAGTCTATACGTGAAAAACAAAAAAAAACCGAATAGTAAGCTGAGGCAAAACCACAGGGAACTATTAAATATGGTGAAACTAAAAAAAAGTAATCTACCGAACGTATAGCTCAGGATAGATTCTTTAAAACTGAAATGGTACTTTTGTTGCGTAAGAACACAGCAAAAGTTTGATAAATGTAAATCACGTTAGGACTAAACTTCCCGTTCGAAAAGCGCGCGGTAGTATCGTTTGTATCAATCTGATCTTGCCTGTAAACTGGCATGCCTCATGTAACAAACTGTTGTTTGAGAATAAATTATTATTATTATTATTTTACTGCTATTGGAAGGATCATTGGTGAAATTATTAAAGTTTATATCGAAATAGTTAGGATCGATATGGTTGCATACAGACTTGTTGCAAGTATCTACCATGTAGTCAATTTGTGCAGAATTAGTTGAGGAACAGCGTATGTGTCTGGGTGAGTAGTCAAGATCTACATCACTGGGCTGGTTATTACAGGCATTTTTACATGCATTCTGTGGGCCGCTACACGAGATGGCTGATTGTGGATTTGCTGTGTGTTTGAGGTCAGCGGCACTGTTTAAAAACAGCTCACAACATGTAACGATTTTGAGTGGGCTGCAAGAAGTACCATATGATGTCCATTCAAACGGTTTATTGTCGTTCTTATTCATATCTGTAAGCGAGATGCAAGGTAGTGACATGTCATAACCAAGTATATGGTACACGTCAAGTGTAGCTGCGGAAAGTCAGTACGACGCGGACTGATAGGCATGTATATAAAGCTTTACGTTGTTCACTTTAGTGACGGATTCAGATCTTTTCAGGCGCCTTAGACATCAGGAGAGATTATATTTAAATATTAGTAAGGTTTGCGTAAAGTGAACAGCTACTATTATAAGTTAATTTATCAAATGTAAAAGGTTCTATGGCAGTATCGTATCTATTATTTGTTAAGAGCTAATGAACGAACGTTGATGAACAAAAAGAGCTGTACAAAGAGGAAATTAACAGACTAAGTGTATGACGTTGAGTCTCAAGATAAGATAATAAATTAATAGAAACTATCAGGATTAAAGTGTTTTCGGCCAATAAATATCGTTAAATTAGGAGGAAGAACTAATAGAAAAGCAATATAAAACCACGTGGAAAAAGTTGCAACCTTAAAAGTCTGTGCGTTGGATACTTATATTTCTATCGTCGTTAGTTTTTGTGAAATAGCAACGTTAAGAAGTGAACATTTATGTCATTGCTCAAACTGTGTGGGTATTTATCGCTTCATTTAGTGAAAACTGATAACTTTGGATGCAGTCATCCGATTTGATTTGAATGGAAACGAAAAAGAAAGTGAGTGTCATTTAGATATCTGATTGGCTTGATGAAATTGTGGTGATACTTCTGTGACGGAAAAGTTTGTCATGGACCACAAATAGTTTCAAACCACAGAGGTCCAAACTATCCACCAGCACACGAACATAGTTTCATGCGGTTTTCCATAAAATAATAATTCGATACTGGTTAATTAAAATATACTTAGACGAGTAATGGTATCTTAAATATCTATCTCTGGTGACGTTGAGCACATATGCCTTTGATTGTCAAGACTTTTCTACACTTATATATCGACGTTAAGTTTTGCGTTTAACACACTTGAAGATGTAGACATTTACATGTATTTTTATCAAGCTATAAATACGCTAGCTGAACAAGTGCTAGGATATCGTAGGCTATAGAAGTTCTATGCTTCTCATCCCACTGCAGCTGGCACAGGAACACGTTCCGGGTGATGCAGAGTGCATATGTAAAATGTACGAAACGACGAGTGCATCAAATACATGTCATCGACAAGTTCGACGAGACTCTTGCACATGTTGTAGAGCTGAAAGTCTGCTGTATATGTCACATAAAATTAGAATACACTGTATGCAACTTCACAAGCGTATTACCTTGTTCCTATTTACTTATTATTATTTATTTGTAATGTTTGTCTACAATTCGATACCGCCCTCGACATTACATTGATTTAGGACTATGTGAAGAGTCAGCAGGATGTCCACACACTCTACTTACTCGACATATTGCGGACAGTGCCACGAGAGATATATTTAGGCTAATAGGTGAATTAAAATTGATATCATAAATAGATTTATGTTAGACTACCACTGAAAACTTGTGAGCACTAGACGACCGTCTCGTTCCGGTGTGGGACTCTTCTGCACTGCTCATCCACGATCACGCACCGGTGGAACTCGAATCCAGTACCTTCGGTCTCGCTCGTGAACGCTTAACTTCTAGACCACTGAGCTGATATCCGACGGCGCTAATGTTTAACTTCAACCAATCCGTTACATTGTGCGATCGTCTACAGTTGTCTTCAGTGGATAAATGCCTCACAAAGGACACGGTTGGATTCCAATGGTCACGGCTCCTCACTAGAACTTCAGAGAATGCCTCTTGAAGCCAATCACTAGTGACAGCATTAAAATTATGATTATACGGTTTCGGAATAATACAATGAATGGGTCTATAAAGTGTAGGTGCAATTAATTGAACACGAAATTAACGTCGTCTGTTATCGCATAAATCAGTATAATGTGAAATCAATTGGCTTAGACTGAATACGACAGATCGATATTCTGAGTACATTATGATGAAAGTACGTTCTCACAAGTCTCCTGCTGAGTATCTCGAGATAAAACGTCTCCTATTCAATATATTTTCACATCACATTTGAATTTAATACCTTCAGTATAGTATCCTTCCGCAAGATTTTTAAATCTTTTACCATATGTGATAAACATTACCGGAAGACGAAGCCAGTTAAAAACTCGCTAAGCTCCCCACAACCTTGAACCAGATTTTAAAAAAATACAGTAAAACTGGTGATCTCAGCAGTTAAAAAATGTTAAAAAGTAGCATTTAAGCTGAGACTTACGCCTAAAGAACAAAAATACATTTATGTTGTTAGCAAAAACTTTAGGGGTTTTCGGGCATCAATAGACTATACAAATATTTTAACGGCTGAAAATCGCGCTGCAGAGACAAAATGCCCGCAGTTACGTAAACTGTTCAAGGTCGTGGTGATAAAATGGGAGAGGTTTAAAGGTCGATCGCACCGTGTGTGAAAGTCCGTTATATGTATGGGATTTCAGTTGTACTTTTTGTCATCAAAAAATGTTTCATAGCTAGACGCAGTCCTTATATGGCGTAAAGAATAGTCATCCGTAAGCTGTAATACTACCCTGATCTTACATTAATTATTGGCTTCATCATCACGATTGAGTTTGAAATTGTTACGAGACGTCTTATATTTGCAATAGTTGAGAATGCTAGCATCTTTACTTGGCATTACTTCTGCCAAGTTTTGTGTGGAAATTTATTGACATCACCTGTTTGTGTAAAGTAGTATACAAGTTTGTTCTGTCACCACCGTTGTTAACTTTCTTAATGAATCGACTTCGATGATGAAAGCTCATTGCTAGAAACTGATATATTTATTGTGACTGATTTTTCGGTTGTCGTTAGTACTAACACCATTTTTACTGAACATGTTATCGGTAATGAGGAACGACCAATGATTCATCGTGACCGTGACGGCTCGCTGATGGATCCTGTAGTCATTGAGAAAGATATTGTTTTAAGGCTACTTCAGCATCTCAAACCTGATAAGTCCAGTGGTCCCGATGATATTCATCCTAGGATTATGAAAGCCATATCAGATGAAATTGCTGAACCATTAGCGATACTATTCGACATGTCTCTGAGACAGTCCAGACTTCCTAGTGACTGGAAAGACGCCATAATAAGTCCGGTGTATAAGGCTGGGAGTAGGGATTTAGTTAGTAACTATAGACCCGTTAGCTCAACTAGTGCAGTTGTGAAACTGATGGAGAAAATCATTCGGATAGCTGTTATAAACTATGTTGAAGGGCAAAATCTTTTCTCCAGGACACAACATGGTCTTCGGAAAGGCCTATCTTGCTTGACAAATCTCATTGCACGAGAAGAGTGGGCTGCGGCAAAGGAGCGGAATGCTCCTGTGGATGTAATTTTCATAGATCTAAGTAAAGCTTTTGATGAGGTTTCCCACTCTGGTCTCAAATTCAAACTGAAACGTTTTGGAATCCATAACACAGTCGTCGACTGGATAAGTAACTTTCTCCATGACAGGAGACAAAGGGTAAGGGTTAATGGGGCTCTCTCCTCGTTTGTACCTGTAAAAAGTGGGGTTCCCCAAGACACAATCCTAGGTCCTCTTCTCTTTTTACTTTATGTAAATGAATTGCCAACTGTAGCAAAATCATCCGTTCTACTCTTCGCTGATGACATAAAGATTTGGAGACCCATACATAGTATGTCGGATAGAATAGTATTACAGGACGATCTTAGCTCATTGGTGGCATGGTTAGACAGGTAGTCACTAGAAGTAAATCCTAATAAGAGTGTAGTGATGCAGTTAAATAACTCTGATGAATCGTATGACTATACACTACGTGGATTCGTGCTACCCAAAGCAAGAAACTATTAAGACTTAGGAGTTATATTAAGCAATGATCTCAAAACGACTAGTCACTGTAAGGCTGCTGCTGCAAAAGGCTATAGGGTATTATGGTCAATTCGTAGGTCTTTTCAGTATTTAGATGATGAAATGTTTGGATTACTATACCCGATTTATGTGCGACCACATTTAGAATACAGGATTCAAGCAGCGAGTCCTTGTTTCAAATATGAAGCAGATATGCTAGAAAGAGTCCAACGACGGGCTACTAAGATGGTACAAGGTCTAGCTGGCCTATCTTATGAAGACAGACTGAGACACCTTAACTTATTTCCGTTATCTTACCGTAGAGTACGGGGTGATCTAATATTGGCTTATCGTATACTGAACGATGACCTTGGTATTAACATGTCTTATCTTTTGCTTCCGTCTAGAACCGATCATTTGAGAGGACATTCGAAGAAAGTTCAAAAACCGAGATCAAACCGTTTACGTCTGGAGTTCCGTTTCTCGCACCGAGTAGTGAATTACTGGAATTCTCTACCGGAAGACGTAATATCAGCACCGTCTGTTAATATATTCAAAACGAGATCGGACCTCCACAGTATTACAAACTGCAAGGATTAATATAGGTCGACAGACCTCCTATCCTTATTACTGAAGACTGAAATAAAGTGGAATAATTATAGTACCTGGATGTTAGGATTTATTTATTTATTTAAACATAATCATTGATACAAGAAGGCACTCAATATATATGCGTCACATAAATCATTTGATTTGTGCGAGGGCTGGAATACTGCCCGAAAGCGCAAACCGAATCAGATGATTTTCTTAGAGGGCTACGTACCGAGCCTTTGGCCTCCAGATCTAATCCACGAGGCAGTGGAGCAACGTCAGGAGATGCAGTTCCATGGTAGTCGGTGACCAACAGTAGGTTCATACGCCACTTGTTCCCTCAGGATACTGGAGCCCACGTGCACCAGTGGTTTGGATTCAGAGTTTTTCAACTCCCCTAGGTGGATCCTCCATATCCACCGAACCCATTAAAGCACCGGACATTCGCTTATTGTCATATCAATTTCGTGAGAAAACACCCTCGCCGCGAGAAGGCAGTGAGTAGGACTGCCCTGGCAATAGCTGTATACGTGTGACCATGTGAGAGCATTTTGAGCGGGAGAGCTGACACTGTTCTTCGGTCGTACCAGAGCATTTAAGTGCAGAATGTCAGGGTAATAACTAGATTGTCGATAAACACGACGTTCAGTCATCTGTGGACCAGCGTTTGTAATTTCATTTTTAGAAACATTCTCAAATCCACTCATACTAACTGTTTCATCCAAGTAGGATGAGACTAATTTATACACGACCTTTCAGCGACGATGAAGTGACCCTGAGAATATTCACCTGTTAACTAGGACTAAATGGCAGTTATAAAGGAGTTTGAGGGATTAAAATTGTGATTAAGGTTAAGAACTAGATTTAGAGTTTTCATCACGAACTGACATCAGCTAAATGACTGGACATTATCTAGCCAGATGGACGAATAAAGTTCACATCAAAATCCAAAACCTGTTATTTTGTGTTTGACTCATCCATAAATTATAGTCTCGCTCCAAGTCGAATCGGTAAAGAAAAGTGACAATCAATCTAGTGAGTCATTTTGATTTTGTAAAATACCAATTTCTCAACATAATTCCCATTTCAAATTGTGGGCACCATAATTCATGTACATTTGTAATGAAAGCGTGTATTCTTCATTTAACTTGTTTTTACTTTAAGTAATTTCTTACATTTGAATAATTCCATATTTGCTCGTGTACACACTTTTTGTTAAATCGATTTAACTCACCATGCAGCTAGCTTTTGCTGGCTAGTTACGCGTTATTAGTATCAATAGATGTAGCGAGATTTATTTGCTTACTTTTGGCGAGATTTAATAATTCTTTATTTCACATAATTATAACGGTCTTTTAGTTGTGGTTCCTTTGATTTACAGCAGTTAATTCTGGTATATGGCATTGAATCAGAGTTTGTGTAACTCATTCGGAACCTTATACTGTCAACTTTTAGTTTCGATTATCAGATTGTCTTCATTTTACATTTGTGTTTTTGGTAAATATTGTCAATCGCTTTCGTCTCACACATTCTGCTCTTCACACTCCCTCATGCTAAACACAAACCGGCACATCTATGTAATTTTTGATACTACTTCATTTAATGGCGTTAATGCAAATATATTCTTTCCACTGCAGAGTGATAGAGAGTTAGTGTTGTGGAAAACCAAGCCCTGTGTAAAGTAAAATTATAAGATGACACAAAAACTATAATTTGCAAAATGCATTCTTCTGAATGTACCGCGTTATTCAACTTTAGAATACAAACCTTTCATTCTCTCGCTTTGTGTTCTTTTATGGTTCGTTAGTAATCACTGTTTACTGCGCTGTTTCAGGCCTTTAACAAATCCACAATGAACACTGGCAACACTTGTTACATTTGATGTCGAAGGACCCAGTACTTATGCATCTCAAAAATATGATAAACTGCCACTATTACTAGATAAACGGGTTGCCGATAACTCTGTCACTGCGGAAGCCCCTGATCCTAGAAACTACTTCGAAGCACATTTCAAAAATTATGAATGCCCTTTTTTTTCTGAAAAACTTCACCACCAGTACATTTCGGCTATACTTTATTATGTTTAAACGGCCAAACAGTACGGCAGGGAATGGTTAGTGAGTTCATGGTCAGTAAACTATCATCTCATACTTGAAAGCTACTGGATGGATCTTTGTTGAAAACTTGTCTTCATGCTCAAACTGTATTCAGACTAGGTATTCTAAGCAGATAGAATCTGAGGTAACCTGGTAATAGTCTTTCCACAAACTGTGAGTTCATCATCTCACCGTGGTTTGCTTTTTTTCTGATAAAAGCTTGACCAGGTAGTTGATATAACTTTTATAAGTAGTCAATAGGATTCCCAATAATATGCTAGCCGCTTAACAGTAATTGTGCAGTGAACTCTTATGGATCGTCAGATGAGAAGAAAAACAATCGTTTAATGTATCCTAGTTATGACACTGGGTTACTGAACGTCAGTCTACTAACCACTGCTCATCATGCTGTTTCATTCTTCAGACAGTGGAATATAGTTAAAATGATCTAACGTAGATATTTTCTGCAACAAGAATATTCATAATTTACTTGCCATGTGATCCAAAGCGGCCTCAAGGATTGATAGCTTACTCAGCAAAACCGAGTTCTGTAGTCATTCTACATGGTAGTATCAAGTGTTCATATTTTCTGTGATCCATTGTTATTGGTACCTCCGAAGCTAAATATAACGTTCAGCCTTTGGCAGGTTAACGTTTACTCTGACGGTAGATTGTTTGCTAGAGGAGCTGAATGAGCAGCGTTTGTGAAAGAATCTAGAACAGGTAAGTAAAACAAAAAGTCGGCAGTAGATTAAATACATAGGATGTACTGACACTTATTAATGACGGTCTTAGGAATAGCGTTTATGCTTTGACTTGATGTAGGGAATAAGTTTTTTGTTTAGCTTGTGTATACCTGTTGTGTCTTGCCAAAATGCTGGTGTGGCTTTTTATTATGACTGGACGCAACGGTTTACTTTACCTTGTCTGGTGGACAGGGACTGGTATTGCTCGATATAAGGAAGAAAGCAAAAATGTTAATGAAGATTTATTTATGCATAGACAATAGATCCTCTACAGCTTCAACCACTGAATAAAAATTACACTAAATTATTTATGATTTGCTTATCTGGTAAGTTAATATGAATATATTGAACTAAGCGGTGTTAGTATAAATTAGTCAATAAATAAATCCATGTATACAATCTATAATGTTAGTTGATTTAACTGTACTAAACATTACAGTAAATTACCGAGCTCCACATTTAATTTTTTCTGACAATATTTCAATTCTAAATTATGATCCTAATCTCAAATGTTTAATGTTTTCGTCGTTAAACCTGCTTCGGTTTGGGCACCCGGGCAATATCACAGCCCTCACACATGTCCAGTGAGGTTTGTGTGGCGCATATGTATTTGGTGCCTCCATGTACCAATGTCTATTTGTTAAAATAAAATAAAACTGATTATCTGTGTTTGGTAGTAAACACTTGGTGGTGTGTGACGTTCCTTTTCAGTTCGTCTATGCTTTCAATGTTCTCCTTTGTTCTCTACTCTCAGTTCTTTTCTGCTATCGGTTGCATCTTCTTTGTTTCCTATCTCGTCTTGACATGAGTAGGGGAAGTGTGATATGTTTTATCGATACATGACTATCAGGTCCTCATACATTGTTTCTGCCTGTACCCTTTTATACTTATTAAATTTCTCAGTATTCTATGGTGATTCTCAAAATTATTTCATGTTTTAGATTTAGATGACCAATACTTGGAGCATTCTTTGTTTATCCAAATTTTCCAAACAATTAAATGATGTTTTTAAAAAATCTTTATCGATAACTAATCGTATAAGTTTGATTAATATTTACTATGTTTTGTCACCTGGAGAAGTTTTTTCCACTCCTGTTTCTACTGTTTATCAGAAATTGGTTAAAAAGATGCAAGATATAGTTGTACCAGATACTGCTTTATTGTATCCTCTTCCAAGGAAGCAATTTTTGGCTGAATTATGGATTACCTCTGGGAAGCTGTTGGTGGTTCTTGAATCTTCATTATTTATTGAGGATGTACCTCATTCGGTAGACTTTCAAAAAGACCTCACGATCGTAAGTGTAAATTTGCTTTCAAAGTACTATATTTCTTCATCTCCGAAAATGTTTTCTCGTGTGTGTGTAAATATCTTACCCACTAAGATCTAGTTTTTTAAATATTAATAATCAACCATAATTATCGTTACAAAACTGTTGCTTTAGAATGAAGTGTAGTTATAATTATGTATGTATGATAAATTGCCACAGAAGATATATCAGTCAACTATTTTATCTCGATCTTTAACACCTCATCAACACATCCATTATGTCAAATATAATGTTGCTGGCTACATAGCTGATATCTGGTTACTCTAATTCTTCCGATCCATATGACAACAGTTTCATAACCTTTCAAATGTCACATCTTCGTCTCTCGTCCTACGTTGTCTGACTAACTTATCATCCCTCAGTATGTCTACTGAGACTCCTGGAATCTTTACTACTAACATAAAATTTAGATTAATAAGTCATATTTTGACTCTCACTGTATTGTGGCCGTTAAAGTTTCTACGTCGCTTAGCAATTACATGAAGGTTCATCTGTTTACTTTATAAACTAGACATTGTGTGACGTTTAGTGCTTACGTATGAGGGCTTGTCTCGTGAGATGTAAGAAACTGAAATTAATGGACTGGTTGTAAGTTAAATGTACAGACCAGAGAAACTAGGACTACCAAAGAGTACACTTCAAATACAAGAACACAACCGAAACAGATTTTCAAGTTATATTCGAAACCCCACCAGGAGTCGAACTGGAAACTTTCGAACTTCACTTTAGGCTCTTGATTCTTAGACTACTCCTTTAAAATCCAATAATTAGCGTTCTCAATTTTAATCAGTTTGAGATATAACGTTATGGTCATTCATTGCGATTGGTGATGACTATCTTACCCAATAGACCTAGACTCCACCAGTTGTAATACTGGCTTCGATGGTGTAGACACATTCTAGCGATGATATTTTAGCGGATTCCATTCTAATCAATACTTAAAATCACTAGGACCGGAATAAAAGAGATAGAGTAGATAACTTTTGTCTACGTATTTCTCTAGAATGGTTACCTATTTTAATTTAGTCTCTGCTGTCCCATCTCTGTTTTTCTGAGTAGTCTTAAGTATGATGCGACATTGTGACTTAAAATGTTATTTGAAATATGCTTAAAAATAAAACCATTGGTGACTGGTATATTTTCTTTTATGCCTTTAATTAACAATAAGATTTACTTTTGATTAAAAGTAGGTCTTGATTGTGCTTACTTGTAAACTGCAACATTTATTACTGTCTTTTCAACTGTTATACATCATTGGTAACCAGGAATAGAGGTTTCATAAACATCGACCATAATTCCTTAGATTGAATGATCAAATTTCTTAGTGAAACGATATATATCTAACATCAACTTCTGGCACTGTAATTTCTGATGATCTGTTCATGATTCTGTGATATCCCCCAAGAATAACGTAAAAATAATTCTCTGTAATTTTCTAGATGCAAATAATGTGTTTTCCCAAGCTTATCTCACATTGTATCGTACACCAATCCTATGTTCTAAGAAAGTAAGTGTTAACGAATAACCTTATCATGTCTGAATATCAAATCGAATTATGAATATAGTCAGCTATTTTTTTTTCAGTGAAAAAGTGCGAAGCATTACGGTGAAAACCGTTAGCAATGTTTCAGTTTCTTATGATAGTCTCATAGTCTCATAGTAGTCCATATCGTACTTTAAAATGTAAAGATCATCCAGCCATGCTCAACATTGAGCCCGACATGTATGTGCATGGGTTTAGGTTGCCACACAATATCAGCATACCGAGATAACAGCAGTAAAGATGGTAATTGTATAAGTGGTCATAGGACAGATTACACATGGTCCATATGATTCGAGAGGTAAATATTAATTAGTTAAATAATAAAGTATAAGAAAGGAAAGGTGTTCTAGACTTGTAAATTAAATCCCATGAACTGTCGCAGCTGGTCCAAAAGTTTGTTGTCGGTTAAATAAATTTCAAGCTGATTAGTATATGCGTGAGTGAAAAACACTTTAACGACCAGTCTTTCTGGTTCGTTACGTCAGTGAGATCGAAAATAGTGTCATGTTCCGTAGAAATCACATGATCGTGTCTGTCATGCGATTGGACCACTATTAGGTCTATTTAATTAAATTTCTGTGAGACTATAATTTATGAACGACCTTCAAGCAACTCTAAAATGACCTTGGAATGTCCACCAACTTACCCGAGTTACATGAGGGTTATATATTAATATGTAGAACTATGATTATGATTTACAGTTGAACGTTAGGGTTAGGAATTAGACTTAGTGTTTTCATCACTAACCGACATAAGCTATAATGCCAAAATGGTATTTAGCCAAATGAGTGAATGAAGTTTGCGCCGAAATCTAAACTCTGCTATCTTAAATCTGATTGATTCGTCCATGGATTATAGTCTAGCCCAAATTTCTATTGCATTTGGTTCATCATGATTATGTAGATGATGATCGGTGAATGGGACAAATTCAAAAGGTGATCTACTTTATCTGGTCATATTATTGATAAATGACTTGAATGGAGTGTTACTTAATAATACTACATTTAAGAAAATGACCAATTTGGGTTTCATTCAATTATGATATGCATCTTACTTTTATGAAGAATGAATGTTAGTCGCCACTGAGTTAAATGATTATCAGAACACCACGCACAGTATCGGATGCTAGTCCCAGCTATCTTTCATCTCACAGCTTTAAGTAACTAAATTATACCTATACTTTTTGTACACAGTCCCACAAGTATACATTCATGCAGCCCACTAACCAAATGAAAGTTAATCTATTCGTCTACAAATCACTTTTTGAGTCCTAGTAATAATACTTAGCTCCTAAGTCCAAAATAAGTGTAGTAGGGTTAGGACTTCTGGTTCATTCGTTGAAATTTAAGTGCATCAACTTCAAGTCTATCGCTCCATAAATAACCGAAGACAGAAGACGCCAATAAATATTCAGTTATTTGGTAAACAATCTAGCTTTTACATATAATCTATATGCTTCAAAGACTTAAGTGTTTCATGTTACTTATTAAATTAACTTGTTCTCACACTTATCTGTATTTAATGTAAATATATGCCGACTGTACCTTTGAATGATTTAAATTGAAATCTCAAAGAAAACAAGTTTCTTTGAGTTTACATATATCCCTAGCTGATAATAACTAATGAACATAAAACCCAAATTTAATATCTTCATGCTTATAACGATCTAAGATCAACTGTCAAAGTACTACATTCTCCGCAAATTACACATACTAATTACAATCATGTGCTCATTAGTGTCTAGCTTTAAGATGTGACTTCTAGGTTTCGAGTGAGAAGCCGTGGCCAGTGGAGTTCAATCTATGTAGGCTGTGAGACAGTTATCCACCGTAGGTAATGGATGAAAAGTTGCTCAAGATTATGGATTGATTAAAGTTAGACATTAAAACCTCTAGGTCTCGGCCTAGCGGTTTAGGGGTTAGGTGTTAACGTACGAGACTGAAAGCCGTGGGTTCGATTCCCGCTTTCGGGATTGTGGTTGGGGACTAGTAAGGAGTCCCATACTAGAACATCCAGTGTTGTTAGGCCTTCAATGGCGGTCTAGCTAAGATTAGTTCGTGGTTTTAACTGTAAGGGGATACTTTTACTTGTTATTTCTCATGGTCCCAATTCAGCAGAATATTTGCAGTGTTTTTGTCTGTCTCTTGGTAGGTAACTGAATACATAGCCAATGGTGGGCGTGTTCTATTGATTTTAGATACGACAGAGGTGAATAATTTCCCCTCATCGAGTCTTGCTCATTATGCTTTACTTTCAAACGAATCTCCTAATCTGTTTGAAAACAATTATTCATACTGGAAATGGATGTATAAAGATTCGATTTTAACTGGTGGATATCATCGCCTGGAAAGTGATAATGATAAGGAGGTTGAAGTTCAAAAGGATCAACCATTAATTGCTATTCTCAGTGTAAGTTAATTAAAATCTGATTTTACAATTTCTTTTAGTCGTTTTTGGGTTACTGAACTTCTTAAAAATATCTGATCGAATTAAGGTACTGTGGTAAAATTCTGATATAACGAACAAGTTTACACGTTATCGAAAGGTCACATGACAGTTGAGAAATATTGGTATGGATAGGATATTGTAAGGTAATTATTTGTTTCCCCAAAGTCATCCCACATGTCTTTGCTTTGATCATTTAGGTAACTTACGTGTACTCATAAGTTGTAAACCATTATTGTAACTTTTCTGCTCAACCTTGATCTCACCTTGCATAACAATTCAGTCAAGTGTTATGAGCGTAAATCAGAGGCTAACAAGATAGATTTTGATTTTTGAAGGCTAACACTCAAAGCTTAAAATGAACTTACATTTTTATGATATATCTTTTTTCCTAAGATTGATTGTTTGAAAATCGAAGCAACACGTTTGGAAAATGCGTTCAACCTTCTTGGGATACCGTGTGTACCTTGTGTTGATCTGGAAGACAATACACATGATAAACTACTGTCTAATTCCCTATCCTCAGTTCATTTATCCGATTCAAAGACTTTGCATTGTTTTACACCGGACTCTGAGAAAAAGGTTGGATTTAAATTATTTTGTTAAATTGCTTTTTGTTTATACTACAGTGAATTGCATTCTTTTTTCTCTGTATAATTTAGTATACATACTATATGAATGCATGCGTAGTTGTGTGTTTTTGGTAGGAGCTAGATTATAACGTTGGTAGATATATCTTCATCCTATCGCTTGTTATAATTCGGAGGAAAACTCAAACATATCTCGTTATCACTCGATGCATAACTCATCATATTACTCATTTATTATAACTATTTTGTTCATTTAAAGTGGATAGATTATGGCTAGCAGTGAAAACCTGAACGCGCGTTTGTTCTACTCGGAACTCACCAGTTGGATGTACACCTGCAGTTCAGTGATGCTCATAATGAAACAAATTTTTGTCCACTATAAACAATCTCTTCTAACATATACATTATATCGATATTGAATAACTACATTCATTTGATATTACGGAGCTAATTAGTTTGGTTTTTCCCCATTATACTCTCAATGTTGTCTTGGTTGCAATGATTTGTTTACCTTCCGATTTCAGAAGATCGTTAATTTTCTCATTAAGGAATTTTCAACGAAATGCAAAAAAGAGATTTCCTATTGTTCTACTCTATCTGATCTTCCATTGGGTTTCAACTGGATAGATTATTTTTCAAATCTTCATACTGAACATTTAGGTAAATTGATTGTTTGGTCTAACTCAATGGAATCTAGTTGGGATTTCTGTCAACAGTAAGTCTATTGTTCCTGGTTTCACTGGTTGCTTAAGTTCAATACGTAATGTAAACTATGAAACCCAACGATATCTACAAATACATCATAGTAATCATAATTATAGGCTCACTGGTGGTTAGTTTTGAGAGGTGATTATCGGAATTCTTGCGAAAAAGCCATTCAGTGTTTACTGGTTTTCAATTGTTTACTAATTAAGATCAGTCTGTTATGTAAAATGTGAAATTTCTTATTGTTCATTTATTGTCGATAGTAAGTTTTATTATTTTTTTTATAGATAACTGCTTTTATCGTTTCTTTTATATTATATACTGTAAAACTCCGTAAAATATATGGATTTACAAAGTGTACGTGTGCTTCACCTAAATAATAGTAAATTTTTATTGAGGGTTCTTTAAATGATGTCAAACACAGTTTAGTGGCTTTTTGTAGGAGTTTAAATATGATGCTAAATGCAAAAAAAATTATATGATCGGTTAAACTAAGTGTTTCATTTTGGTAATAATGTTTGAATTCTCATGGAAGAAACTGAAATACCTAAGTCTCATGAGTGATAAGACATTTCGAAATCCAGCTAATGAATGTTTATGTTGTGATTTGGTGACCGATAGAATAAGCTGCTAACAGAATCTCCTAGAAGGTCCCTAAAAACATTGATGATAATTCTTTGAAAAATGGATATATTTTATGGAATAAAGACAACAGGAAGATTTACTTTGTCTGGTATCCTGACATAAATCAAATGGGAACATCGTAGATAAAGTAATGAATTTTAGAGTCAAATACATGGTTTTCAGTCACTGAGTTACAGATTCAAACCACATTGTCCTACTACATGCACCAGTAAAAAGTCTTTGATCCATTTGTGATCATTGTTTCTATTCTTGGTTAGTTATAGATTGTCTGGTGAGTAACTAAGCTTTACCGTCTTGGTCAAATATTCTTAACAAAAAATTGGCATATATAATCCTGTCGTATTGTCGAATTAACCAATGCTGCCTTCTGTAGTTCATTCGCTTGACCTTCGGCTGTCAGTTCCATGAATAAGTTATCAGTTCAATTACTTTCATCATTTCTGTATTTTATCAGATTCGTTCTATCTTTTTCAGTTTTTAAATCTGATTAGTGTTATTAGTTCCCACTGAAGCGTATGTTCTAAGCAGCGTACATAAATCTATACCTGATCACTGAAAAGCACCCCAAATTCCTGTAATCTTTTCATATGTATTGATTGTTTAAATCCTCTGATTGATGTTTAGTACTCTAATGGATCAGTCATTTTCGGCATATATGCAACATGTGCGGATTGCCTCGATATTGCTATTAAGTCTCAAGCATTCTAAGCAGAGATGGATCGTGGCTAGTAGTGGAATCCAAGACCCACATTTTGTTCTACTACGGAATCACCAGCTAGATGTATCTAGTAGTCATTGTTATATCTTGGAGCGTTAGGCTGCCTGGAGAGAATCCTGACAAATGAGTACTTCCTCAGGTTAAACAATCCCCCCGTACTATTTCATTTATAAATGAAGATTGTGTTATATTGATGTGCAGTATAGGGGGAGCAAATAATCTCACAGAACGTCCTCAACATGCATCGATAAGTGTTAAACGAATCAAAATCGGTTTAACTTTTATCACTAACAAGTAGTTTTGAAACATTTGCAGTGCATTACATCAAGCTTGGAGGGAAGCGCAAATGCAGCATAATGCAGACGGTCAATGGGAGTGCCATCTCTTCTCAATACGGGGTCAGAAGGAGTAAATCGAACAAATTTCATACCCTCAAAAATTCTATTCTTATAGGCTGGACGACACTGTACTACGTTTAGGTTATGAAAAGTACTTAATACTCCATTTTCTACACTTTTCTACACTATCCTACAATAAATCATATGATAGATTCAAAAATATCGAAAATTATCTCTCATATAAGCAAAGATGGATAGTGGCTAGCAGTGGGATCCAGGACGCGCGTTTCCTCCTATTTGGGACTCGTCAACTGGATGTGCTTGCATCTCCGAGTTGATGTTCATTCTGGGACTCGAACCCAATACCATTCGCTTCAAACGCCATCGCGTCATAACAGACTACTCAATTTCAGTTTTAAACCTCAATGGGAAGATACAAGCAAAACAATACCAAGTGAATTTATTTCTCATATATTCACTTTTTTTTGTAATGTAATAAATGGTACAACCAAGCGATTATAGCTTAGTTTGTGTGCTCAGTGTCGAGTCACACTTTCTTTGCAGAAACCAGTGGTATTACTTGATTGTTTAAAGTGAAGTAGGCAGATGATTTGAACCTACCATCAAACTTTCGAAACTTAAAGTATTTTAGTCACCAAGTCATCTCTAGCAGTACGGTTTCACTTCATGCTTATCTAAATACTCTAATAAGACATTTTCATCACCATAGTTAAGTATTCTCATTCTGTCGTTACGTATTTTTTGCTGTTCCATTAAATTGTCTCTATTTACTAAGATTGTGTGTTTGAAAGTATTTCTCTACATATATTTTGTATTCTAGATTCTTTGAACGAATCCATCCAAATTCTGGTCTGCTGGTATGTTCTAATATTCAATCTAAAGGGAAAGGTAAACAATGTATCATCATGCAGTTATTTATAATTTATTTGATATTTTACGGAAATCAAATAATTAAAACTTGATACTGTAAGTACATACAATACTATCTCAGTGTGAGGTTGTGAGGATTGCTGATTGATACTGAGATCATGAACCGATAATCAGTGGCTAGAGTTTGTGAATGCTAACTCCTGAGTAGTTTAACATTGCGACGAGACAACTCAGTGGTTCCAGTTTTAGATGATTTTCTAACGGTTGGTTAGTGATTTCGATACCATCCCAGTCAGTCATAGTTAAAGTAAAATTTTGCGTGTATATGCATCGGTTACACTTTTTCCACAACGTGTCATTACAGTATAATTAAATTATCAAAGCAGATGCTAGAGTAGTATATATAGTAACAGTATCAGTGATAGTAGTAGAAAAGATTAAGCATAGACAATATGACTCGAGAAGAGGGGATAAATTCGCATAGTAAGAAGCATAAGATAACTTTGAAACTCAAGATCTGAGGTAAAACATAGAGTGAGTGCAGACTACTCTGCCTTTGTCGATTCCGAGCCATATTATCCTAAGTTTTCAACCATTTAGTCAGAAGAATCATGCGGACCCTTCATTAGTCAAAAGTATGTATAAGTTATCCAGTGACTAACTTACAGGCTGTATATTAATTAAATAGACCAAGAAAATACCCGTTTTTGGCAAAAAGTCAATAAGTCAATAAAAATTGCCATAAGAATCAAAGATATTACAATATTTAAAAAGGAGTTGACTGGATTAAAATAAATGTGACAGAAAAGCTGCTGTATCAATGTTGACATATTTATATTTTATCATAAAAAAATCTAGTTATGTAAAAAACTATTTGTCAGTATCAGGGTTGTGGAGATTGTTAAATTTTGTTGAATTCAGGAACCAATCTATGCTCAACAACAACTGGGACCAATAGACAACTATTTCGTCCCAGTATGAGACTCTTCATTAGTGCTCACTCACGATCCCCCACCATAGATCGAACCCAGGACGATTGATCTCCAGCGAGAAATTCGGTAGTTTCTCTAATAGTATCAGCCTATAGAATGCCTCATTCTTGAATTTATCACTACAAGAACATCATTCTAACTTCTATTAAGTGTTGTGCGCATGTTCAAAAGTACATTTTATTAAGGTAGCGTAACTATTATGAACACATCAGTTTGTCTGATTAATATGAAACTCAGATGTATGTTAGGCTTTCATGATAATACATTCACAAAAATTCTATAATCTTCACAAATCCTTTACTGGTAATACTTATGTGCTCACTAGTGACTAACTTCAAGATACTACTCCTGAAGTTCCAGTGAGAAGCCTTTACCAGTGTAGTTCAAATACTTCGAATGTGCAACTGTTATCCACTGCAGATGATGGATGAGGGTTGCTTAATATCATGAATTCATCGAAGTTATATAGTGGACAGCTTGGATGCAGTTAAACCATTTAGGCTTCCCAGATGACCTAGCTCTTCTATCCCGTACATAGCAATAAATACAGGTGAAAACAGCTAGTGTAGTAACAGCCTCTTCAGCAGTAGGCTTCAACATACACAAGGGAAAAAACAAGGTCCTGAAATACAACACAATGAGCACCAACCTGATCACACTTAATGAAGAGGCTCTGAAAGAGGTGGAATATTTTACGTACCCGAGTAGCATCATCAATAAACATGGAGGATCTGATGCAGATGAGAAAGCACGGATCACCAAAGCAAGGTAGGATTCCTACAATTGAAGGACACATGGAACTCAAAAGAACTGTCACCCAACATCGAGTTCAGAATCTTCAGTACGAATGTCAAGACAGTTCTACCGTACGGAGCTGAAACTTGGAGAACTACCACCAGGTATTTATAAATAGTTGTCTACGCAAGATAATTAATGTCCGTTGACCAGACACTATCAGTAACAATCTACTGTGGGGGAGTACAAACCAGTTTCCAGCTGGAATTTACTCTAGAAGTGGATAGGACATACATTGCGGAAATCATCGAACCGTATCACAAAGCAAGCCCTAACTTGGAATCCTGTATGCAAAAGGAAAAGAGGAAGATCAAGGAACTTACTGAGCCGGGAATCGGAGGCAGATATCAAAAGAATAAATAGTACTTATTTAGTTTGTTTGCGAATCTTGGTGGGAAGCTTGTGCCGCTCCACGAGGTATAACAGGTGTAAGTTAGTAATACTTGTACATTACTGGATGCCATTTGCGTTTGCGCTCAAGACCTAAGGTCCTGTGTCAGATTCGTAAATGCTTATTGATGAGAATTCCCCTTTACTTAAATAAAATAGCCGTACAGTGGTTCTAATTTTTGAATGGTGGTCTAAGATCAATTCATGACTTAAACTGGGGATATTCTTCAATCTCCACAATCCTCTCTATACTGGTAAAAACTGTTAAGGTTTTAAAAGTTCATTTCGATCAATGAATTTTGGCATGCATACTTGGTTTATAAAAACTGATATAATCAAGCTTATTCTGACCCTGTAGCTGTTTATTTATCCATACTATAGTACTAATATAAATTTACTAATGTTCCTACTTCTCTCAGTTACTTATGTAATATCTTAAATCCATTGTTTATTTCATTACTAGAAGGGGTTTAAATGATCATATTATTGATATTGCTAACTAAATTTCAATTAGTTTTTGTTGGCGTATGTGCGTCCTGAAAGGATTGTCACTATACAGTTATTTTTTTACAATGTTATATAAAAGTAGATGGATTGTACTTAGCAGTGGGATCCAGGAAGCGATTTTCGTCCTATTTATTACTGGTTTCGAATCTCTTTGTTAGAAACAACACTAGAGTATAGATTTATTCAGTTGACAAGTCTGAAAAAGGACTAAACATGCATTTTGAATTCCATTGCTAGCTGAACGCTTTAACCATTGAATCACTGTTTCAGAGAGCACTGGGCAACTTTTTCATCCTAGTATTGAACTCAGCAATTTACACTCTCGATCCCTCTGGGGATCTAATTCAGGTCTTGTGTTTGACAATTAATCGTTAGAACCTCTTAGACAGTATTGGGTTGAGACTTACTGATCTAAAATAATCGTATTCGCTGTAGGATCTAAAGGTCTTAAGTCTTGTCTTAGATTGAGTCATAAGTACTCACCATTATGAAGTCACAAATCAGGATAATAATGCTGTCTTGCGCAGCCTGGTTTTCAATGACTTTCTTATATCGGTTTGTTTTAAAGATAATCTTTAAACTGTACCTATCTTATGATGAATACTATTCTGTATGTTTTCCCATATTATTAGGTCGAGGAGAGAATAAGTGGATTAGTCCTGTTGGACAAGCTGCATTTACATTCCATTTAACATTATCCACTTTCAATAGTCAAATGTTTATGAATTGTGTGACTTGTGTACAACATATTGTAGCGTTGAGTATAGTTTTGGCTTGTAGACAATTAATTGCTGAACATTTAGAGATCATTTCAGGTGATACTAATTTTTGTGATATCAATGAAGAATTTCTTGTTGTAAGTTCTTTTCTATGGTTTGAAAGTTTTTCATCAGTTATTTATTTATTTATCTATCAGAAGGGGAGTTGTGTAAGTTGTTGATGCTTTTAATACACTGGTTTAAATAAAATAAAGTTAGTCAATGATCAAATATTTGCTGATTGTCACCCATTGGGCTACTGGTTCAAAACCCTCCACCAACCTTTATTTGCTTACTAAATTGCATTTCCAGATTTCTTATAAGAACAAACTAATCATTATCTACGGTATTATATTTCAACCAATTTTATTCTCCTTGAAGTTCATCGGGCAAAGACCACAGTCTTGACTGATTTACATGACTCTTTAATGACTTCTACTAATTTACTTTCACTCATGTTTGGTGATATAACAAAAGAGGTTTGTCCAAGCACTTGACAGTGAACAATACGTTTATTATTTATTTATTTATTTATTTTATTTGAACACATAAATATTGGTACAAGAGAGCGCCAATATATATGCGCCACACAAAACAATGAGAATTCGAAGAGAAAGAAAAAAAAGTAAGGAGCGTGAAAAAAAAAGAGAACAGTAACGAAGAGGTTGGTGTAAGGTAGTGTAGTAATAATAATAGTAATAATGAGGGAACGGAAAGGTACAATCAGAAGAAATCTTTCAGTTAAGGAAGACACAACCACTTTTTATGAAGAAAGTAAAAGAAGGTTACAGCAGGATCGCCACTGGCTTCTATTCTGAGCCATATCTGATAACGTCTCTAACCACTGTGTAGCACCATCCCTCGGACCCCAACCAGGAAGTCGTGAAGGACCGACAGAAGTCAGTCCTTTGCAGATTTCTTTTATACCACGACACCATGTCATGCACTGACCACCTCTCCGCTTCTTCCAACCAGTCCCAGAGTCGGCAAATAATGCACGACGTGGAATTCTCTGGGACGACATTCGTAGAACATGTCCAAGCCACCGAAGTCGGTGTTTCAAGATGGTGACATCGGTTGCATTATCATCTCTGTGCCCGAACACACGATGCCGAACCTCTGCATTACTGACATGGTGTTGCCACTGGATGTCAGCAATCCTTCGGAGACAGCGATGATCGAACACAGAGATTCTTCTAACATCCTCAACTCGGAGAGGCCAGGTTTCACAAGCATAGAGCAAAACTGCTCTCACCGACGCGTTGTAGATCCGACCTTTTACAGCCAGACTAACATCACGAAGGCGCCAAAGATGGCCCAGATTGGCATAAGCCGCTCTGGCTTTCACTATATGTGCATTGATCTCATCACTCACACCCCCACCAGCACCTAGATACACGAACTTCTCGACTACTTCTATCTGCTCACCATGCAGGGTGAGTACAGGATTAGAATCCCGTCAGTCTTTTAGAAGTACTTTGCGCTTCGAAGGTGCAAAGCGCATACCATACCTACGGACACTGATTGCCAACTGATTAAGTGCGGATTGCATGCCTTGGGCATTATCGCACAGTAAGACAATATCGTCCGCATACTCAAGGTCGATAAGTCTTTCTCCAGACAACAGATCCACACCACCATCACTTACATCCATCAGAGCTGTTTCCAGAATGTCATCGATGGCAAAGTTGAAGAGGAATGGTGAGATTGGGCAACCCTGCCTAACCCCACTGCTCGAATGGAACAATGGAGAGAGGTGGTTGTATGCCCTCACTCTGCCTGAGGTGTTTGTATATAGGGCTTTTAGGATGTTAATAAACTTCTCAGGCACACTCTTCTTCAATAGACAATCCCAAAGAACAGTTCTATCCAACGAATCGAAGGCAGTCCTGATGTCAAGAAACACTACGATTGTTGGCCTTTGATAAGTATGGCGGTTTTCTAACATTTGGCGGAGGGTGACGATATGATCAATACATCCTCGACCAGAACGAAACCCAGCCTGCTCCTCGCGAGTCAATCTTTCTCGGGTTTTGAACAACCTACGAAGAATGACGGAAGCCAATAGCTTGGACGCAATCGGAAGTAAACTTATCCCCCGATAGTTGTTTCAGGAACGACGTGAACCCTTTTTAAAGATAGGGACAACTATCGACTCATTCCATGACGTTGGTACACTCTAGTTCCCAAACCTTTGTAAACAACGTCGTCAGTTCCTAAGTCAGAAAGTCACCACCATCATTAAAAAGAGCCGGAGGTAAGTCATCTGGGCCAGGTGATTTGTAGCGCATCAAGGGTTGGAGTTCCTTGCGGACTTCCTCCTCATTTGGTGGATCAGTCGTCACCGGCCATGGAGGGCAGGACAGTTTGACTGGTGTTGCCGGAGCAGCAGGCCATTTGAACTGCCCTTCGAAAAATTCTGCCCATCGTCCAAGACGTCGATGGATGTTAGTGATTAGCATCCCATCATCCTCACAGATTGTTTCGCTCACAGCAGACTTCTTGCTGCCAGTGGCTCGGATGAGTTGGAAGAGCTTCCGGTAATTACCAGATGCAGCTGCTGCTTCCAGCTCATTAGCACGCTTCGACCACCAGGCTTCTCGGTCCTTACGCAAGCTTAGCTCGTTTTCCTTACGTAACATCCTTCGTTTGTGGTCAAACTCACGGTCACTCGGAGTAGACCGACGGGCTTCGATGAGTTGCAAGGAGCCTAAAGATATCCAGTGCTTATAAGCGGGACGTTTCGCGAACCCACAACTGATTGTACCCGCCATTTTAATGGCGTCATGCAATTGCAACCAATGCTCATCCATACTTTTCGGTGGAATGGTAACTAGCCTAGAAACTAGCTCGGTTCGATACTTACTAGCAACAGAAGTTGCAACCAGCTAGCTAACATCAATCCGTTGGTGGCGGTCACTTCGTTGTCCACTGAAAAGTAAGGTAAGATTGGCGCAGACCAAGGCATGGTCAGAGTCCAGATAGGTACTCCAAAAGGAGCGGCAGTCTTGTACACAACCACGCCAGCGGTAGCTGATCGCGATGTGATCAATCTGAGTCCAGGCTTGAGATGCAGAGGGAGGACGCCAGGTCGCACATCGGCGATGACTGCCGAAAGTTGGTACTAGCCAGAAACAGACTGTGGTCTGTGCACAGTTGCAGTAGACGGTCCCCGTTATCTGACCTGCAACCAACGAGTCCCCATCGGCCACCTAAACGACTCTCTTCTGTGCCTAGACGCCCAACCTGAGCATTCAAGTCTCCGGCTAGTACTACAATATCTATCGAACGCACTTTCTGGAGAAGAACAGATAACTGGTGGTAAAACTCATCCTTCATTGCATCCGGGCTGCAATCTCTCGGGGCATAGGCAGAGATGACGAAAAGACATCGTTTCTCACTCCGATTTCTTCTCACTTAGATAGAACTCTCTAATCTAACAGCACATAACCGACTGTTAATGCGGATCCAATCGATTAGTGCTGCCTCAGCTCTAGCGCTTAGTGCGACACCAACGCCAGCAAGACCAAACGAAGATGCCACAAGGTCCCCGGATAAGTGCACGTAAAACAAGCTTTTCGAAGCGACAGATGAGCGAATTAGTAGTACTTCGCCAGAGTCTTGAATACGGGTCTCGGATAGACAGCAGACATCGATATTAAGACTTTCCAAAGACATAGCCAGCCCTATCTGTTGTCCAACCTGCATAAGTGTGCGAACGTTGAAGGCAGCCAGTTTGAATGTTGCACTTGGTTTCAGAAAAACTGCTTCAGTACTCATATTCAGTGGTAACATACAATTTCCAACCGGACAGTGACTTGAGAACGTTTAGATACAGTCGGATTTCCACCAAAGACGAGCCGCTGTATAAGTATAAAAGAGGGTGAATAATGTGGATAATAATAATAATAATAATAATAATAATAATAATAATAGTAATAATAGTGATAATAATCATTTGAATCATTTGATTGTTAGTTGAAGCAAGTAAAGTAGTTTCCATAATTATAGGCAGTTCATCATATTTGCGTGTGGGCTGCGATACTGCTCGGGTGCCCAGACCGAAGCAGGTGGTTATCTTAGGGGACCACACCCCGAGCCTTTGACCTAAAGGTCCAAACTACAAGGCAGTGGAGCATCGTAAGGAGATGCAGTCCCATGGTAGCCGGTGACCGACGATTGGTTCATACGCCATTTGTTCCCGCAGGATACTGGAGCCCATGTGCACCATTGGTTTGGAATCCGGTTAAAGCGCCGGACATTCGCTTTTCGTCCTCTCGTTTTCGTAAACAATACCCCCGCCACGAGAAGGCAATGAGTAGGACTTCCCTGGCAGAGGCTGTATACGCGTGGCTGTGTGAGAGTATTTCGAGAGGGAGAGCGGACTCTCCCCACTCTCGGCCGTACCAGGGCATTTGGGGACGAACAATACGTTTGAATTCTATGAAATATGACTTGATACTGTATCACTCGATAATGAGTTAAATAATTAGCTTGAATACTAGACTGGAGGGTACTAGATTATGTAAACTCAGTTACTTAAAGTCTGGCCTAAAAATGAGAACCAGATTAGATGAGGCAATAGTTTGTTGACGCAAATTATAAGCAGTTAACATAGAGTAGAATCAGAGTTACTTATAAAATATTCTCTTTAATTTATTTTTGTATCTATCTTTGCTCACTGACCAATAATATATTAGTTTATTCGACTTAACATTTAGTGGTGTATACTTTGGTTGCACTGAAATATTAAATTGTTTCATCACAAATCAGCATCAGCGAAACAGCAACCATTGAAATCTAGAGAGCACTGCACAACGTTTTCATTGCAGTTTGAGATCCACGACCTCACGCAGGATAAAATAAAAGGACTTTAGGTCTTGCAACACAGGATACAGTTCAGCAGCCGAGTAGCTTTGACCATGCGCTGTTTTCATTCATTATCAATAATGCATCAGTCTTAATTTATTTGGCTCCACTATCCACTGCTTCCAACCTGAAAATTCGGTCATTTCTCTTTATACTGATGACAGGTCTTTTTAATAGCTAGCTTTCATTGTATTGAATTTGATACACTTCTTTTCGACAGGATCTTCAATATCATGGACCTAAAATCCTTATTAAATGGCCAAATGATATTTATGTTGTCGAAAATATTAATTGGTGTAATAATCAAGATGTCAGTTCGACGCTTTTGCAACAAAATATTATTGGAAAACTGGCTGGTGTATTAGTTCGTTGTCGTTTAGTTGGTTCAAATCACGTGGAATTATTGATTGGTAGAGTGTATTTTGTTTTATTCTTTATTCAAGCTTGTAAAGGATTTAGATGCTTTCAATAGTTATCAAAAAATGATATAGTAATACACACTATGACTGTATCCTCAGGTTTAAATGAACTAAAGAATTATTTGGTGATTAGACCACTTTACGTGTCAATAGGTATGCTTCATTTACTCACTAAAATTCCGTTATAATGCGCTTACTCTGTCATTAAAGCTTTTTGGCTGCATGCGTAAAGTTGCAGCTTTGATCCCCCCATTCTACCTACTACGATTCAGGCAACCAAATATTGCACTTTCTCACAGAGTGCTCTCTTAAGGTCATACGTTTATAGCGACTGCTATGGAAGTCTTGCTTACTGTCTTCATGAGATGGGTTTTTTTATTTACCAAAGTAAGAGGACGTAAAGTAATCGATCAGCGCTTAGACCTTGATTGATGGACTCGAAAGGTTTAGTTAAGTGAGTTGGAAAACCCTGATTCCAAACCAGTAGTGTGCATAGGCTTCAGGGCGTTGCCCACTTAGGAAATCAGTCTGGGCGCCTGAACAGAGTACCTCAGCCTGCTCACAAAAATGAAGAGAAAAATACTCAAGAATGAATGATTGCTGATAGGACAGATATTAAGGTTAATTTGTTGTAGACTAGAAAAATTCACATCACGGTTATTTTCTTTAAAAGCTTTTTTTTCTTGAAACAATTAAATTCTAGGCTGTGGCATTAATGCATTCAATGAACTACCTACGACATGTTTAGAACATGTATTGATCAAATCTCATCCGTGTAATAAGAGACCAACATTTTCAATTGCCAAGTTAATTTCACTTGTAGTAAGTTACATTGAAAGAATAATCACGAGGATCTATAATCCGAATTCAAATTATGATCTTGGATGGGTGCTTCACTTATACACGAAATGCTGGATTCATACGTAAGTTATTTGTCAAATAAGGTTTATTTGAAATGTACACAATTATTCAGGGAAGGAATCCTTTTCAGCGTATTCATTTTCAGTTGTATATATATTATGTCTGCTTGAATTTCATTAATTGTTATGTGAAATTTGAATACATCATTTTAAATAAATAAGTATATCCTGGAGTTCTAGTGAGCAGTAGTGACCAGTGGAGTTCAACCAGGTCTGTTGTGAGATAGTAACTCACTGAAGGCAATGGTGAATGTGTCGCTCAATTTCGTGGATTAGTTGAAGTTAGACATTAACACCGCTGGATGCCGGCTCAGTGGTCTAGTCGTTAAGTCCTCGCGCGCCGTCCAGTGCTTTCAGGTTTTTCATGGTGGTCTAGCTTCAACTGACTCATGATCTTAACCATTAAAAATAAATATTTGTTTAGGAGTGGGACACATTTCTGCTAATATATAATGAATCTGTCTCTCAAAGTTCAACATCTAGCATTGTTCCGTTCATTTAGTTAGTGAATACTGGTGTGAGGGTATTATTTTCACTGAAAATTTAATTTCAAGCTCTAACTTTCTGTTTAGTTGTGGTGCACTACAAGTATCATGTTCACGGAAGACATATATATGACTTTAGATCACTAAAACGAAGTTCCTAGTAGGAATTACACTTTTTTGTTGCAAACCCGACAGTAAATAACAGAAATATAGTTGAAAATGCGAGATATCGCAGATATATTGGACGCTTGGAAAAGGATTGTTATCCTCACACATCATTGAAGGAGGAAGTTTATGAACCGTGAGAAATATATGGCTGATAGGGTGAAAAGTGAGTATCGTTAAGTTGCAATGATTTGTGAACGATAATCAAGAAATATGCATAGAAATAATCTTTGTAATGATAATAATTATAATAGTAATAGTAAATTAGAATCATTTTATAAACATAGGAGTAAAAGATGAGAGAGATTATTCAAATAAGCTAAACGAAACTAGAAACTGAGATTCTGGTGAAGAAAGAGATCTAACTAGTTGTTTTTGTACAAGTAATCTCGATTTTTACACTATGAATAGCCAAAACGTCTTCATTGTAAAGTAGGTTCAAGCACACACCTCTTGGTAACTCTGACTGGATGTTGTAAAGGATATCAGGTGATTAGTTGAATGTTGAATGACTTGTATTTAGTACGTGTGGTAGAATCAATTATGTAATTTGCTTATGTAACCCTTTGCTTGACCTATACTATTGGATGCTCCCGGATGCGACCAAAAAGTGGCTTTGACAAACATCCTACATGCCTAGGTCCGCAAGAGCAGTCAGTCAGTAACAATGTAGAACTTCGTACGTACGTACATCAGTTCGAGTTGCCACACCACATTAGCACAGAGATGCAGTTTTCGATTCAAATCCCGTAGTGGTAGAGGTAATAAGAGTATAAGCAGTAATCGGGAAGATTAGGGTTTGGAGATGTTATTTAAAGAGTACAATCCAGTGAAATAAATTTGGAAAGAGGAAAAAAGGGACATGAAGAATTCAGAAGATTAGAATTTGGGAGAACACAGAGAGTGGATGCACCTGCGCCATTGCAAACGATTTTGAGCCATGTCATTCAGGGTCTCTAACCATCGGTTGCTATCATCTCGCGGTCCCCAACCAGGTAGTCTACACCTACCAACATGACTCAGTTCATTTGTCAGTGACTTCATGGACTTGTGCCATGTTTTGGTCTGGCCGCCTCTAGCTTTCTTCCAACCTACTCCTATACCACTGAACATATCACGTCGAGGCAGTCGGTCGTTGGGCATACGTAACACGTGTCCCAGCCATCTCAACTGATGAAGTTTCACTACTTCATCAATTGATTTGCCATCCTTACCTAGTACCCGTTTCCTAACAACTGTGTTACTTACTCGATAGTCCCAGGATATACGAGCAATGCTTCGAAGACACCTATGATCAAATACTAATAGCCTACGGATATCCTCTACTCTTACCGGCCATGTTTCACTGCCATAAAGTAGGACGGAACAAACTGCTGCACAGTAAACACGTCCTTTGGTTGATAGACGGATATCTCGCCTACGCCATAAATGATGCAAGTTGGCAAAAGCTAGTCGAGCCTTCTGTATCCGTGCTGAGATTTCGTCACACACTAAACCACAAGGGCCGATGAGACTTCCAAGATAAGTGAAGCGGTCGACACACTCAACTACTTCACTCCCTATCACTAGTTCGGGTGTTGATGTAACCCAATCCTGAAGCAACATTTTGCATTTCGAGGGAGAGAGTCGCATCCCGAACATGCTTGCATTGTTGCTTAGAGTGGTCAAAAGACTGCATTTTGTCAGCGTCTTCATCAAATAAAACTATGTCATCTGCATATTCTAAGTCAACAAATGAACCTCCCGGTACAAGTTCAACCCCTGTAAATTTAGATGAGGAGAGTGTTATCTCTAAAAGTACGTCGACCACAAAGTTGAACAAGAATGGGGAGAGTGGACAGCCCTGACGAACACCACTTGAGGTAATCAATTCTGATGACAGTTCGCCATAAGCTCTCACTCTACCAGTTGTGTTCGAGTAGAGAGCCTTTATAAGGTTAATGTACTTCTTTGGTACTCCTTTCAGTGACAAACACTGCCATAAAACCTCACGATCAACAGAGTCGAATGCTGCCTTAACGTCGAGAAATACTACCATTGTGGGGCGTCTGAATGTGTGTCTGTGTTCTAGAACCTGATGTAGTGTGAGTATCTGATCTATACAACCACGTCCAGGTCGAAAACCGGCCTGGTTTTCTCTAATCTGCTCTTCACGAGCATTGATTGGGCGTCGAAGTATTATTGAAGCTAAAATTTTAGACACTGTTAGTCAAACTGATTCCTCTGTGATTGTCACAAGAGGACTTTTGTCTTTTCTTATAGACTGGCACAATCAGTGATTGAGACCAGTCAGATGGGATTACGTCCAGTTCCCAAATTCTACCTAAGACCTCGGTTAATCTCATTGCTAATACTGGACCACCATCCTTAAAAATCTCAGGAGTAAACCTGTGAGGGCCTGCTGCTCTCCCTCGTTTCTGATTTCCTATGGCTTTTTCAACTTCGTAAAAGGACGGAGGACCTACATTAACTTGCCATTCAGGTTGACTAGAGATCGTGGGAAACCGAAGTGTGGCTGAAGGCCAGTTGAACTGATCCATAAAGTGTTCTGCCCATCGATCCAATCTCCTGGATTGAGAATGAATAATATGTCCATCTTTCTCTGAGATTGTTTCGCTAACGATCGGGTTCCTAATTCCGGTTTCCTTAACGAGTCTGAACAATTGTCTGCTATTACCTATTGCCGCTGCCTTTTCCATCTCTCTTGCTTTCGCTGCCCACCACTGTTCGCGATCATTGCGTAGACTTCTTGTCAGCTTGCGCTTAAGCTGACTCCGCTCTTCATTATGTTCAGAGCCAGGTGGAATGAGTTTCCGAGCATCTATCAGTGCGATAGATGCTGCTGAGATCCAGTGTTGCTCCCTAACCTTCTGGTTTACCTTACTAGCAGATATCACTGCTGTTTCCACAGCTTTTCGGATATCATTCCATGCTACTACCTTGACGCGGTGGTCGGGCTTGCCTATCGTGATGACCCAACCGAGCTATATTGGCTGGAACATATGTTCCCGCAGGTTCTACCATGCCAGGCAGGTCGATTGGTGAACGGTAAGACTAAAAGCAGCAACTCAAGGTCTGAGGGCGAAGTCGTACTGCTGACTGTAGAGAGGTGTGACAGCAGTAAGGTGTTTCCCTCGGACAACCAACATGACAGCGATGCTGCCTTCCCACAAGGAGGGGTGGGGTTAGAAAAGGTCGACCCTAAAAATGTCACACCTCACCTTACTTCACGGATTTCCGTCTCCGGCGGTAAGGCCCTTTGAAGAACGGAGCTAACACGTCAAAAACTTTCCACAAAAAGGCCGTGCGCGACCGGCCTCAAGCAGTTGTCCCTTGGGCTCTGCGGTCACGCTCCCAGGTCGTCAAGACCAACACTAATCCAATTTCCTTTTCAGGTTCCTCAAGAAATACCCTTCCACGGTGTGGGTAGCCGGGAAGTGATATCAGCCCTCATACCGGTAACAGCACAAGAGACCAAGGTGGTCACATTCAAATCCTTCCTACACCTCTTAATACCTCTCTTATCTTCCCGACTAACCCTCCTCACGTCTCTTTATCACCTCGCACCGCTAGGGCAAACGATTCGAGTACGTGGAACGCCATTCCTGGTCTCCTGAAACCACGCTCTAAACTACACGTAAGAGCTTTTAACGTACGAACACTTTGCCAAATAGGACAGCAGGCTTCCTTAGCTAAAACTTTAGAATCTCGCGCCATAGATGTGTGCTGCGTCTCCGAAATGCGCATACAGGATCCAAGTAGCGTCATTCATTTGACCTCACCATGCCAAAATAAAGAACCGACTCGATTTACGCTTCGTGTATCTGGAAGCCCTGATTGTGCTCCCCGTGGCCTCGCCGGCGTAGGTATAGCATTGAGTCCCAGTAGACAGTCGTTTGTGCGCTATCCGACTAAACGGAACAGTAAGAATCCGGAAAGATAGGGACACTCGTCGTAAACGCATATCCAGTCGGTCAGTCCTTGCCACTTTCATTTGAGAGGATAACTTCAGTAATTTGTTTGGAGATTTGCAATGTTGAGTGTTTTTCTAATCAACCTTTCCAGATGACATTCTGGTATGTCACTTCTACAATGAACCGTATAGTTAACGTTGAAGTAAACTAATACACCATATGAATCAATAATTAACTACACATAAAGTTCTGATGTCTGCCCTCATTGCTACATGTGGATCTGTTTACAGATTTTCTGACAGCCACTTTCCCTCTTTTAGTCTTTTTACTAACTTCAGTTTAAAAATAAGCATTTTCGAGTTGAATGAAGTTGTTTAAATTACAAAAATAACTTCGTTACTTAGGCTTACTTTCGTGATTTGAATTCTATCTTATAATTATTTTCTCTGTGTTGATAACTTGTTGAACTAAACTGTGTTGTTTAACGGATTGCTAGTGCCTCGTTGTTTACTCGTACTAATCATTAACCTGACTCATTAAACCACTGCAACAGTAACATGGAAAGCCTAAATGACACTGTTATGCATCTGATATGTTTGCTTATAATCATAAATTTTCATAGTTTCTATCACTTGCTGATCTTAGTTAGACAGCCATTGAAAAGCAGGAAGCCTTGAAAAGCTATTTTATCCTAGTATGGGACTTCTCGGAAGTCCAGATCCACAACACCACAGGGGGTCGGACCCAGGGCGTTTAGTTTCACACACGAACAACTGACCTTTAGACAATTATCGTGAACTGCAATCATGTACATGCCCAGATTCAACCGATTCACTACATTCCTTTACCATCTTTCATTGCCATCGGTGAGTAACTGCTTCACTCGATATGACTAAACTCCATTAGTCACGGCTTCTCACTAGAAATTCTGGAGTTTCATCTTTAAGCTAGTTACCAATGAGCACTTGATTATTATCAGTATCCATCCGTTTACAAATTCATATGATTATTAATATAGGCGTATGGACAAATAATATTCTTTTTACCAAATTCACTAAAAACTCATCACTCAGGATAACAAAACATCACCACTAGATTAGGTTTTGGGGTGAGAACGAACGAGTTTTGAATAAATAGAGTGGATTTAGATTTTCGTATGGTCAAGGCTTCAAGAAACCGTGATATGAGTACTTGAACACTTGTACAAAATCAAAAATCTAAGTTAAGTTCAATCTTATGACCGGTTTTAAGTATCTTTATCATCTACTCTTATTGGGTCATCCGGTTATGTTTTTGTAACCATTTTGGTACATTATAAACAGAGAAGAATCTTGACTAACAGTGGTATCCAGGACGTGTGTTTCGTTCTGTTTAGGACTCGTCGGCTGAATATACTTGCACGCGAGGTTTGATGTTCACTTCGGGACTTAAACCCAGTACCGTTCGCATCAAATGCCATTGCGTTATCTGCTTAGGTCCAGAGTCCATAAAGCCGCTAGCTTGTGCAGTGGGTTGAACTTTAATTCATTTTTGTATTGGTTGTTTGAATCTTCCCATTGATCAGTCTCTTTTAGCATACATGCATTCTACGTAGATTGGTACATTTTCAAACACCCTAATTTGCAAATCATGATGGTTTATCCCCATGCATGTATAACTACACACATGTAAATTGATAAACAACGTCGGATGTAACATTATGATTCGTGAAGAAAGACTGAGTTAATGGTAAGAAAAATAGTATAAAATAAATTTGAAATTGCGTCATTTCAACCTATCTTGATCTATGTCACTCCACATCTCCAACCACTGGTTACACTTAGTCACACTAATCTATATACTAATTGCACTGAACATTCTATTTCTGTAAAATTAAAAAAGTACGTACAGAGAAATTATTAGTATTCTTTTTTATATTATGGTATTAACGTATGAAATTTTCACGTCTGTATTTTGTTATCTAGTAATCAAAAAATTCAACTTTACGTCAATCCAACGTTGAGTGAAAATAACCCTGGCGTAATTGATCAACAGCATTCAACTGATACGAATACTTACCGCATAGTTGGTTTAGATAATTATGGTTATCTATTAGTAGAAGATATATGTACTGGAATTCGACATAAGTTACATCCAGATGGCAATTCAATGGATATGATGCGTGGTCTAATTATTACTAAATAAAAAAATCTAATCCAAAAAGTGAAATGTCCTCTTTTGTTTGAAAATTCAGTCCAATTAGAACTGTCATATGATTAGCTAACCAACTAACTGCCTTTCACTCCATATTCTAGTCATTTTTATATGCTCAGATTTCTTTACTTAATATATATGACGATTTAAGGGAAAACGATGCTATTCGCTTATATGTGTAGTTCTAAATATGTATTCATCTCATTTTGTTGTACTTAATAGTACTATATTTGGGTAATGACTTGAAACAAGACGGTTATGTGAGTGTTGTGACTTGAACTAAATACTGATTACTACTACACTGGTAAAACTGTTATTGGCTACTTACTGCAAGGAAACGAGACTACTATGTGGTTGCAAAGTGAAAAACAAGATCGTGGAAGAAGATTGATTTATTCATCAATAATTAATTAATACGGCATCCGCAATCGTAATCATAATAATCTGATGTGTTTATATAATTTGCAAAATCCAATGTATTGACTGTTAAATGTTACTCAGGGATGAATTATATGTTTGTTTTCTTTTTGACAATTTTTTTATTTGAAGAAATATACATTTTTTGTGGTCAATATTTTGGAATGTTTTCAGTTATTTTAATATAATAATATAATATAATATAATATAATAATGTACTTCTGATCCGATCGTGTTTTTCTTTTGCCTGCGAATAAAAAAGTGGTTCAAATGGCTAGTCAGAATTTAAATACCCAAACGTTTCAAGCACCAATTTTTATTTTTGTAATGAAATTGGATGTAATCTTCCAGAGGGCTAATTGGAAACAACATTGCGTTGTTGAACAGTAGTATTAATAGTAGTGTACGCTGTTATTTGTTGATTTACTCAATTTCTATCTTTTATAACTGGTGTGCTATCACCGGTTCAGAACCGATAGCTGTGTTCAGTTTTTTGGTGAATATCTGAGTTCTTAGGTGTGCTGAGCGAAATAACTAATCATTTGTTTCTATGTCACTCGTAAACATATTTTATTATCCTGTACAAGTAAATGGTCTAATCGTTAATACTATCGTTGTAAGCCCCTGATGAAATGGTATCTAGAGACAAGAAAGGTAACATGCTTATGCTATCTGTTACTGTTATGTGTGTGGAATGCTTAACTAGCCTCGTACCGGGGCCCCAGCAAGACGCGTAGTGAGAACACAAAAACTGGTGATAAGGTTTTATTTGACTCTCGAAACAAGTCCAAATAGTACATGAATACTGTTGTGAAGCAAGTCGGTTTTACACGTTTATTATCATCCAGTAAGTCAAAACTTAACTCGTGTTCATCATGTTAAATTCTCAAACCCAACTTCATTACTTTTGTATGGGGTAGATAGTTTGTTTAGTACAAGAGAATTGTTCACTCTTTAGAAGTATATTTTGTGTTTAAAATGTTTTACAACTATCCTGCATTGAGCCTACTCGTTTTAAACTATGTCACGGTTTACTTTCGTTTTAATTAGCACTGAAAACAAACATCTTTCTCTTATTACTTCTAGTGAACCCTTCAATATTGTATTCTATCATAACACATTGAGATTTATTATCGTTCGCGATTAGGTAAATTTCATTATTGTATCCTAAGATATTCAGTGTTTCAATACAAGATGTACAATAAATGATTTGATGTTCAAAACATATTCGGCTTCACTGTTTTGTTGCGAACTGTATAGGAGTAACGCATTTTAAAATATTACTGGGATTAATCGGTAACGGTTGTACTTTATCTAAATCTTCGGCAAATCACATAGACTGATGAGGCAGGAGAATTTTAACATAAGAAACTGCTTCGCCTTTGTATTACGTCATAGAATTTATATTATTTTGCTTATGCACCAACAAAGATTCGATGCAGTATCCCATCAGTGGTAACAGTTAAATACTTGATTATAAGCTGTAATAACAAACTTCTGTAAAATTTACGTACAAGTAGATGGTTAACGTCAATTTTTATTTTAACGAATTGTTTGAAAATATGTTTTCAGTTTTGAAAGAATATCAGCATGATTTAAAAGAATGACATTGACAAAACTAAACTTGTCATAAATAATTTTTTTTGATTGACAGTGACAGGTCATTTTGAAGCTCTGTAGAATAAGTCCGTCGATGCATTTTATCATACTATCTTAGGGGCGAGAACTAGAAAAGCAACAGAAGTACGGAAAATTACGAGAAATAAGTTATGCACAGTAAAACGCTCAATATGCATAGAAATATAGTCCGTTGAGGGACAACGGTCCCAGTGAGTAAAAGTGGAGAGTCTTTCCTGATAATCCGGTATACTGCTCATTCCTTAAGAGAATAAGAACATATTTACCTATCTTGGACTGAACGTTTATTGGAACCAGTTTGTTCACCAAAGAAGGATTTAGCACCGAATCAATGTGGGTATGTAATTTAGAGAAATATGTAGAAAATAATTGTCTTCAAATTTAACCACTGAAGTATGATGTGAAATTAGAGCATTTTTTGGAGTTCTTTTATGTTTGTATGCAAACTTACATGTATCGATACCATCGTACAATAAATGTCGACGTGTGAATATTGGCAACAGTTCCTCTATCGTTGGTGTTTACACTAAGATAGGAGTTTATTCACATGAAGACAACTTAAAACTAAAGAACGTAATGATGTGATCTTAGAAGACTCCACGGAAAATAAAGGAAGAAACATAATGATAATCAAGAGTAATGTTTGATCTCAAATAAAGGCAGACAAGTGTCCGACCACTGGACTGGCTATCTGGAGAATAGAAGAGACTTTCCAGCAGTGAAATACCGAAAAGAAGCAAAGATGCTTGACCTTCAATCAAGGAAACGACAATGTTTAACCCCTACTGATCCATTTGGTTTGGCGCGATATATATCGTCGCGCAAATATTTGGAACTTATTAGCGGCTTAGCTGCTATGTTCCAACTGTTAAATCATTTATTTTAATACTCAATAGCTAAAACATGTTATATATATATATATATATATATATATATATATATATATATATATATATATATATATATATATATATATATATATATATTAGCGATAGAATACTAATTAGTCATTAATGATCTCAAGTTTTTTAATCTTAGTAGTACTAATGATTGGCGAATAGGCGAAATTTTCATTCAGACGCATCATATGAAATCGGCTAAAGTTTTATTATCTCAATAAGAAAAGGAATTCAAGTAAATTCATCTCAAGTGGAATTAAGATAAAGTTAACAACAACAATAGTGAAAAACTGAACTTAAGTAGTATGTGTAGATCAAGTAAAGAATATATGTAATAAGATAGGGACTCATGATCTGACGTAACATAAAAAATGTATGCATCAATTACTCTGTGACTGGTGGCTTGAATGAAAAAAAGACAATATTCACTAGGTATAATAAATGAACTAATAGAAAATGTTACTACTACTAATAATCAGTATCATTCTTATTATCATCGTACAATACATGAAATCATTCTGATTGGTTGCTAAGGTCGACTTTGTCCAACGAATCAATATTGTGCACACTTGTTTATGATACCTCTCTTAGCAACAGTTGCTAACACTGAGAATTTTACGATATCATCTCTGTATAAATAGTAACCAATAAAACTGGAGAGAATATATACATATAATACAAAAAAGTAGGCAATTAATATAGTTAACAAAAATATAAATTGGACTGTTTTTTTCTGGTTTTCAGAAGCCGAGAAAAAATACAATAATAACATCATCGGTGACTTTTGTTACTTCATTTTGAGAAATAATTCAACTGGTCGATGTTTAACTATAAACCTAACTAAGAAAAGAAGATATCACCATATGAAAAAGAGAATAAACCTTAGAAATCTTGTAGGTTTTATGTAGTTCACTGTTAATTGTTTAGTGAAAACGTTTTTTAAAATTTATAGAACTGAGAAGAATTTTAACACTATAATTAAATTGTGGTTTCAATATCAAAATCTTCAGGATAGTTTTTGTGTTGATCAATTAAATAAGGTAAGAATTAAATATTAAAAATATGTTTTTCTTATGTTTTCTTATTACCACTTTCTAAAACCTTAATCATTTGTGTTTAAATTATGAAACAATGAACTGACTTAATCTATAAATACAAATCATTATATTCCAGCTCAAGTATTGCTGACAAACTTTAGGGGTCTGAGTTTGACCTAGTGTTAGTTAGTAGGTGATCACAACTGAGAAGTCCCAAACTAATAGTAATAACACTTCATAGTATTTTCTTATTTTCGGTGGTACTTCGAAGGACATTAACCTGTTATATCGATAATCATTTAGTGAAACAAATTACTTATTTAAACAATGAATTCCAGTTAAATAATACGGAATAGTAAAGTAATTGAGGCTAAATTCAATAAATGAAATATATTTATCAATTTATTGGGCATATATATAACGTATGCCTGTTGTAAAGGAAGCCAAATCCTGTTCAATAGTGTAAGATTATCATTTGGCCGATTTCTGATTAACCCCCTGTATCATAAAGTATATTTGGAAAGATGTTAGCAATAAAAAAATACATAGTTTCAACGTTTCACACTTCGTTCTAGTTTAAAGATCTGCATGAAGGTAATCAAAATTATCAAAAGTAAATAGACCACCAAAGGTTTTTTTGATAAATAACCGTCCTACAATATATGCTTGTACTCAACCTTATCATTAAAAATCTCAGGTCAAATTACTAGATGAAATGCTGTAAAGGTTTTTCATTACAGAATCTGAAAAAAATAACTTTTAAAGAATACCTTATTACACATTTACTACTTGTTAAAATTCGTTAGCTCTAAGCTGGGTGCATGTTATCAAATATTCTCAACAGAATACAAGGTATAGATGTGATCAGTTGCATAGTAATGTTTTATCAATGGTTTTCTTTGTTAATAAACACTGATTGTCAGAAAAATGGGATTCGATCCTGCTTAATAACGAGATGCACTTCAAATAATTTAGTAATACGTATGGTAAATAATAAAGGTTGGTTTATTTCTGTTTACCAAAAAACTGTGAATATCGATCTTATCAATCTTGATCAAATCTGAATGTATACTATTACAATAATCAATAGAATTTAGAGGCCTTTAGTCATTTAGACATATACAGATCATGTCAATACTGAAATGAAAGCATTCAAATAAAAATGGTGAATGTCAAATCAACATGCAATCCCTTCAAATGTATTGCGAACAAAAACTACCTGACACAGTAATTCTTCAAAAAAATATCTGAATAGTTAAATATATGCATAGAACGTTTTCACATGAGAATTTAGAATAGTTTGTAGGACTTTTTAATTTCACTGTCACTGTTTATATTTATACTGAATTTTTGCAAAACAATTGGCATCGATAAATTGGGTTTATGTAAATTTAAACATACGTTGCTTATAAACGTCACTGATGAGTCCATTAAAATTTTGAATATAACTTACTATTGTGAAAAATATGAAATAATTGTCTGGTTTACTTCGAAATCTGTTAAGATCGCTTAATATCATTTCTTTAAAGCATAGTCAAACAGTTGTGATTAAAAAGAAATATTTAAGGAGCATAAAACATTGGTATAGTATTTAAAATTACATAACAAATAATTACTCAAATAAACCATAGTTATCTTAGTATTTCTGCTG